TCCCCCCGATGATTCGAACACCTCACGCGAAACCTTCGTTCCACTGCGAACAATCAACGCATCACAGAGTGAGATCTTGGTGCGGAGCTCATCAAGGCTCAAATTATAGGAGCAATCGACATTCGCATAGTCCTTCAACAGCTTAAGCCCAGCTTCACCGAGCTTCTCCGCTACAAGCACGGTTGGCTTCGCATCAAGACCCGCCGCAGCAACAACCACAAGAGGGCGTGGGCCATGGCGGCGGCGAGGCTGAAGGGAGACGGAGAAGGCGGAGGATAGATGGATTTTGGAAGAGAGAGAAAGCGATGGATCTCTAGGCGATGAAATACGAAGGGCTTGCGAAGAAGACATGGTAGCCATTATTAATTGGAAATGGCGTCGAAGTGTAGAAACCGAGGTTTGATTTCGGCGAGTTGGCGCCGATAGATGAGAAGGGTGCGGGAAGAAGCAGGACTGAGCGAGAGAAGCAGTGATTTTATATGTGTTGTGAAGAGCTAGGAAGGGAAGTGGAACGCACGCTCTTTTGAATGTAACCTAGATTGAGAATGAATCTTCTCTTCTGAAGCGAAGTTAGTTTGTCAGAACTTAGATCTATGAATTTTCATAAAAGTTTAAAAAAATATGGAAAAAAATTATATTTTATACAAATAATAAAATAAAAAATATTAAAAAAAATTCATAAATTTTAATTTCAGAAGATTTGTTTCCCCTAGATAACATGTTATTATATTAATCTCTTCCATTCTACATCAAAATAAAAAATTTTAATTTGGATTTTTAAATGAAAGATTAAACTATCATTCTCTCTCTTATTTATGTATAAAAATTAGATTAGATGAATATATAAATTTGTAAGTAATGAAGCCAAGCTCACTAAAATTAGAAGATGAAACAAGTATTTTCTTTGGTAATATAAAATGAATAATTAAAGGCTGTCAACAATCTAAAATCTCTAATAAAATTTCTGCTTTTTAAGGCTCAATCTGATCAAAGAGAAAACAATGAGAAGGAATAAAACATGAAAGGCAAAATAGGAAAGGAAATAATTTTTCTCATGTGTAGGAGAAAATGGCATATGGAACTCATGTAGCTTCCCAACAAATTTTCTCATCTTCTTCATTCCCCAGATCTAGCTGTCATTCTGCATATGTTGTTTGCTGGAATGGTTGATTTAAATTTTTTTTTCCATTTGAATGTTTTTATTTTTTATTTTTTCGCCTTCCTCTATTGTTATTGGGGAAATATTGGACCTGGAATTGTTGTTTTGCTGTTCGATTTCACGAAATCGAACAATTTTTACTTGCTTTTATGCCTAATCATCATTTGAGACTTCAACATCTAAACATAAATTACATTAGAATATCTTACTTTTATTCTGTCTTTAATTTTCAAGCAAACACTCATGAGTTATTTATTATTGGTAAAAGGTGTAGTGTCGGTTATTGATATTGTTGAACAGGCGGAGTCAGTTAAAAGGTTGGTGGGGAAAGGACTCACCGTCACGCTCTCATTCGTCGCGTGGAAGATTATGTGTAAGTAAATCAGTGACTTGTGTTTCTCAATCCAAACGACAATGACATATGCCGTATTTCGACTTGGAGGTGGGTTCAAGATTTTTATTTTAGGACCAACATCTCGGTCCAAAAGGAAGAATCTGATACTGTTTTGGACCATGCGGGGCCCAAGTACCCTGCTCACTATTTTTTGGGTTGGTGAGATTTTTCTTTTTCTTTTTTTTGTCATTAGCAACAATTTTATTCAAAATATGATTACAAAATGTGAATATTTTTTTTGGTGAAAATCTGAACTTTAATTTAACATGTTACAAGGAACTAATTTTTTTCACTCGATTTTTTTTCTGTTGGTTGGTGGGGTTGTATTTGTGTTTGCATTTACATTGTAGATCAAGTTCACAAGATTTGGTAAAACGAATAATCACAACTGGTGGCCTTCATTTTGTAAATTTGAGGAAACATACAAAAAGATAGAAGAAAAGGAATAGATAAAAAGACACTTTTAGAGATGTAATAAGGAGAGCAATGAACATTTTAGAACTCCTAAATTTAAAGATCTCAGTCAAGGACTTTATATGGATTTATTCATTTATTTTCATAATATATTATTTTTAAAATTATTTGAGAAAATATAATTTTGGGTTCTTATATTTCGTTATAGGTTCCTGCACGTTTTTTCGATATTTTAAGTTTCTATAATTTTATTTTTCCTATACTTTGTTTATTTGAAATCCTTTAACACAAAAAATAAAAGTATAGGAACATAGAATATCAAAAAAAAAGGGTACAGATCCAAAACTATATTTTCTCAAATAATTTTATAAAATATTAAATTTAAATTATTTAAATTTAACCTAAAAAATAGTTGATAGTGGAAGAAAAATGGAATGAAAGGAAGTGGAGTGTTATGTTTAGTTGCTAGACTTGCAAAAACAAACATAACAAAATGAAATATTGTAATCCTTAAAGCAAATTCAAATTCAAATTAATATTTTTTATCATAACGAATAACAAGAAGAATAAATTATGAGCATAAACCTCCAGTCTTTTCCACAACTTGTGGGCTCTGTAAGCCCAAAAACAAATACCAGCCCAGTCCAAAATGCTTTTAAAACACAATGAAGGCTTACTAAGGAATCTCTAAATAAATTACAATGCACGTAATTTTAAGTCTTCTTGTCCAGGAGTTTGATTTGTTATGTAATTTAAAGGGCAGATAAAAGAATAACCATGTTCACTCGCTTAACTAACCCACAAATCCCAAGCCTTCAAATTCTGCTTAACGATGAAAATCTGAATTTCACCTTCAAAATCAACTAATAAACTCTGTCATCATTAAGACAGAAAATAGAAAATTCGTAACAGAAAAGCATCGCCGAAGACTGTTTATCAAAATAATAAAAAATAAACCTTAAGAATATCGAACCTTTTAAACAGAAGGATCATGAACCATACTAAAAACTAAAACAGAAACGAAGACAAAGACAAATAACGCTTCCTCTGGTCTCCTATTTAAGGGAATTTTTGTGGGAGTGGTCTGGTCTATAACATAAAGGACAAAATCATGAGGCACTTGGTTTAGATGGTAATAATGTTACACATAATGGGATTCAGATTAGTTTAGAGATAGGTGATAATATCCCAACTATATTAAGATACCGTGCCATAAAAGAAAAAAGAATACAAAGGGCAAAACGGTTGCGTCTGGAGTCTATGTATTCCTTGGGGGAGGGGGTCTATCCCTTTCCTTGCCTCATTTTCCTTCTATTTTTTCTTAACCATTCATTATTTTTATGATTTTAAAAAAATTATTTAATAAAATAATATAAATGATTAAAATGAGAAAAATAGAGAAAAAAGGAGGTAAGGAAAAGGATAGTCACCTCTCCCCATTAACTTGCGTGTGCAAAGTACATTTATGAGCTCATATGTGCGCCCATGAATCTACAAACCAAACATGTTAGATAAAACACCAAATTCAGCAAAAACTAATATCTGATTATATTTCGATCCTTGGTAGCCATTGTTATGGATGATTCAAGAGTAAATATATGCTGTCTTCAATGATATTCGTCTGGCTTCCTGGTTTTCGCTTCTCTTCAAACAAACCAATTGGCCCTACGTTTCATCCTTCATTTTCATAGCTTGTGTAAAACAGTAAAAGAGAGCAAATAATGTGAAAAAGGGTGGCAGACACCAACAAAAAGCAGGACGCGAAACCAACAGTCAGCAACAGCGGCCATGTTTGCCGCCTTATAATTCACTATCACTCTCTTTCACTATCAAACAAGACACTCCGTCTCTTCTCTTCCTTTCATATCTTCTTCACGCAGATTCAGGGCTCAATAATAATAAAGTGTGGACAAAAGCTGACTCGTCTTCATTCTTGTACACTCACGGATTTTCTCCATGATTTGCAGAGTCTCTTTTTAGAACAAAACAAAAAGGGGGGCGGGCGGGCGAACAAACATAAACTAGCTATGCATAAGATTTTAAATTTTGTATTGTTGTGGTCAAATTTATTTGCCTCGTGAATTACTTACTTTATTACATAGAGAAAAATACAATTATTAATTTCAATAATTTTATCTGATTTTTTTAATCTTTGTGATTTATTTTTAATATTTTCAATCTTTTATAGTCTCTATAATTTAAGATTATTGAAGACTTAAAGAATAAACGTCACACCATCTTACTCAAACTATAAGAAATAAAATATTTAAAAAATTATAAGAACTAATATCAAACAAAATTATAGGGACTAATTATTATATTTTTTTATTAAAAAATAAATATATAAGATTATTAAATTAGGTTATTGATAGAGTGATATAGATTTTCAATCACTTGAATAAGTGTACAAGAGTTTAAACCTCAACTCTTGTATAACAACTTAATTAAATGAGTCTACCTTTTACCTTCATTTCTTCCTTTAATCACCCTTCATTCTATCTTCGAGTAATGAAGCTAGTTTTAATTTTAGGATCTCCTATTTCTTTGACGTTTTCCCTAAGATGGTGTGTGTGGTGGCCATTTTTTTTTTTTTTCAGAATATGAATTAAGTTTCAGCAAAACTAGCAGAAACAAACACACACGAATGAAATAATAAATGTGCATGAATTCAAATTTAGCCATCAACTATTATAAATTCATATTACAAACTCAAATTAAACTATAAACTTAGAATAGTCAAAACTCAAATTTAAAATTCGGATTATAAACTTAAATTATAATAAACAACTACAACCAAACATGAACTTTAAAAATTGAACTCATTAAATCACTTGAATGGCAACATTATGGGTTTGCGTTTTTAATCCTTCAAATCTATATCAATAACACTAAAGTAAGGCATGAGTGTTCACTGTTCAAGTATTAAAAAAGTAAACAGAAAATACGTAAACAGAAAATATAAACAATTAAACGATAAAAATAATATAATAATTTATATATACATAACCAAAGAAGATGGGACTCGAGATCGTCTTCAAGACATCCCAACATGACCAAGATAGGCAAAAGTCAATCGGGATAGGTAAAACCATGAACACTCTCAATCAGGTCAGGTACAACCATGAACGCTCTGACTCGTGCCAATCTCACCTGCCCCCTATATGTGTGAATGTGAAGGTTACAAACAAAAAAAGAAACACGTACCTATAAATTTTAGACAAAGTAAAAATCTTGAATTCGAACTAATTTTTTAAATTAAATCAGAAGATTGTAGCAAAAGTTCACATATATTTAAAACTCATCTATACCACTTGAAGCACTCCATATTGGAAAAAAGTTGGTTACGTTCTCATATTACAAAAAGAAAATCTAACGCGAAAAAGGATCCCCGATGCATCATTGTCGTGAAGAATTAACAAGGGGCAATATTAATAAAGGATTTTCTCTAGGATTTGTACAGCCTCTTTCATGGACGGTCTCTTTTGAGGTCTCAGAGAGGAACAACGAAACCCTAACTTGAAGCACAACAGTATGGCTTCCTCCTTCCTTTCCACCTCACTTCTGATGCCCACGTCCACCATCCTCAAAACCCTGTTTTTTTCCTCTTCATCTGACCCTCCTTTGGGCCACCGGTCTAACTCCCGGACCGACAAAACCCTCCCGCTCAGAAGCTCCAACAACACAATCCCAAACGAGTACACGTCCCACTTGGGCTTGGGTTGGACTTGAACGCCTTGAAGAGATTCTGGTGCTTGATATGGCAAAATTTGGTGAGTCCCACTTGATGAACCCGTGTAACGGAGATCCGGTTGGCTTCCCCGGTTGGATATTGAACCGGAAGGTCTCAGACGGTCGAGCCCAAAATCGCTGATTATGGGTTCCATTGCCGAGTTTAATAAGATGTTGCTGGGTTTGATGTTGCCATGAACATATTTCTTTTCGTGAATGAAAGCTAAGCCTTGTGCAATTCCTTTTGCTATCTTCAACCTCGCGTCCAACGTCAAGTTCAATGAAGAACACCCCGCTCTTCCTGAATATCAATGAGAATCATCACCCAGATTAACTTCCTCCATAATTAATGTTGCATTAAGGAAAATATTGGATCAAACTAAAGTATTAATTGACGATTTGAATAATTAACAGGATGAATCTGATGGACAGAAGTTGCAGGCCGAGTGAGACTGAACTTACTGTGGCTGAAGCTGCTAGCGAGGCTGCCATTGGGAACATAATCACAGATCACGAGCTTCTCACCTTCTCCCCAGCAAAAACCACGAACCTTGACCAAATTGGGATGGCGAATCTTAGCAATACTCTTCATATGATTCTCAAAATCCTTCTTTCTCTCAACCCCACATTCTCCAATCCTTCTCACTGCAAAAGCCCTTCCGTCCTCAAGCACTGCTCTGTATACTCTATTCTCACGCCTCGTCGTTCCCAACATAAACGCTGAAGCCTGAAGCAGAGTCTCCAAATCCAGCTGTGTTTCTGCATCTAGCGCCACAAGAGCCACATCTTTCTGAAGATTCGAGGTTGTCGTGTCGAATGTAGTGCTCTCATGGTCGCTGTCAGACCCGGTTGTTTCTGATGAAGCCGAATCTTCTTTGGTTCTCAAGCAGTAAAAGTGAAGCTTAGGAGGGGATCTGACTCTCGCACATGGGTTTTCTTTAGCTTTGGCATGACCTTTTGTGATTCTTTGATGGTAGACAAAGAAAATGGCCGTGGCTATGATGGCTACACCGACCAAGTCTCCGAGGACAATGGCTACAATTGTGGTCGGCTTTAGGCCATTGGATGAGCCGTTCGTTGTTGTGTTTGTTTCTGGATTGGTGTCGATTGTTTTTGGTATGGCTGCAATTGCAGGTGCTGAAGATGTGGTTGTTGTTGTGTTTAATGGAGGAATAGACAGAGTGGAAGGAATAGAACATAGGTTTTCCAGAGGCTTCCCGCAAAGATCACTATTTCCAGCAAAAGACTCTGTTTTCTGGTTCAGAAGGACCAGAGATTCTGGTATTGGTCCTGTCAGATTGTTGAAGGCAAGATCGATGGTAGAGTTTTCTGGAATCAGTGTGGCAAATTTAGGAGGAATAATTCCTGAAATCTTATTGTAAGATAGACTCAAGTATCTCAATCGTTCCCCACCAATGTTATTTGGTAAAGAACCATTAAGCAGGTTCGAAGATAGATCTAGAACTTGCACAGAGTTGAACCCACTTGGAACTTGACCAGAAAAGTAGTTGCTTCTCAAAGAAACAAAGGTCAGATTTTTCAAAGCAGTGAGATTTTCCGGCACCGACCCAGCAAAAGCATTGTCGGAGACGTTAAGAACTTGAAGATTTTTCAGCTGTCCAACCAAGTCAGGCAGCTCACCAGAGATGACATTGCTGGCTAGAGAAAGAACTCGAAGCTCCGAAGAGTTGAAGATAGAACTGGGTAAAGACCCATTAAGGAGATTTCTGGACAAATCAAGACGTCGAAGGTATGGGATGTTTCCTAGTTCTTCTGAAATCGAACCCAGAAGCTGGCTGTTAGGAAGAACCAAGGAAGTCACTCTCAACATAGTACCTGGGTCTTCGATTTCATCGCAGGTAACTCCATTCCACAAACATGGGTTGTCGTCGTTGTAGTTCCAGCTCTCTAACACTGATAAAGGGTCGCTGAGAATGGAGTATTTGAAAGAAAGTAAAGAAACCCCATCAGTGTTAAGAGCAGAAGAAGGAAGGAGAAGAAAAAGAAATAACGAAACTTTACACCAGAAACGATGGAGGATATTGGAGGAAAGGTTCATGATTCCCAGAGATGACGATAAAAGTTCATAGTGCAGAAGAAGAAGAGCTTAGAAGCATTAGATAGAGACTAGACGGGAGGGATGGTGAACGACTATAACTTGTTTGATGTTTGTTCTGTTAACCAAATCTTTTAGCAGAGAGAGAGAGTTGAATTAGTTAACGAAGGGACCTTTTCTGTGAACAGAGCAGGCAAATTGTGCAGAGCAGGTTAGACTTGGGACTAGATAAATATAATAAGAAAATAAATAGACGATGCACGGGCTATGAAAGAGGGAAGGGAAGGGAACGGTGCATGTTGCGTTGCATCTATTACTATTAGTTTCATTGGCAAATTTTAGTTAAGCATTTTTTAATATTATATAATAATTAATTATAAAATGATTTACCAAATGTCACACTTTAGAGTCTAGATAAATGTTTTTTTTTTCAGGCAAAAAGACTCCTTTTCATAGATGGACCTGCTGGTAAAAAAAAAATTACGGACCTCTTCTTCCTTTTTAGACTTAATTAAATTACTTGAAAAATAAAGTATAAATATCAATTTAAATAAGTAAAAATTCAAAACTTTCAATTTCATATAAAAATTTAAATTTAAAATATAATTTTTAGGTTGTGTCTAGGATTTTGTTTATATAAATTGTAATTGATATTTGCAATTCAATTTTTTAAAAAACTTATTGGCAACATGAATATTATTAATTTAATATTTTAACACTTAATTGTTCATTTATTTGTTTTTTTCTAATAGATCTAATAGGCAATACAGAGGCATCATTGAAGCAGTGAACGTTCGGGATAAAGAAAATAGAGGGGGATCTAGTTTACGCTATGAGACATCCAAGTGAGTTCCGAGCCCATTTCTTTCAACAGTGTGTCAGTGATTCTGCAAAAGACAAGTTATATCTGAAATGAATAAATAAAGAAATAAAATTGCACTTACATGCATGCCCTCTTTTCACACCACTCGGCCTTTATTTAAAAATATGTTACTACTTATTTAATTAAAAAAATTTAACTCCATGATTCCATCATGCCTTTTGCTGATCCTGAAATGAGTATTTTAAAAAAGCTTGTGAAGACATTTTTATTCTCAGAAAAAAAAAAGACATTTTTCCCCTTTTTGTTGGCAAGGTGTCTAACGGTAACCACTTTTAAATTTAAGACTTTAATTTACTACAAGGTATGTCACTCTGTTTTTCCCCCCTTTTTAGATCTATTGCTAGTAAACGAACTAAATAAGAAAGGAATCAACAAACTGAACTGACCTTTTTTGGGTTTTTTTTTATGGAGGTGAGGGTGGTGAATCTGCAGCACAATTATATGGCAGTAAAAAAAACGTAAAATAAAATTCTAAAAGAGAAAACATGAAGCATCAAATACGGAAATCGCCATCTGGACACATGTAACTTTTGATAAGTGAAATCCAAAGTCTTGTTGATAAAGTAATATTAAAAAAAATCTATAGTCTTACAATTTAAAAAAAGTCACAATAAAATTTTTTAAATTATATTAATAATAATTAAATTCTTTAAAATATTATAATTTCACTAAAAAAAATTTTGCTATTAATAAATTTATATGAATGATCAAATCGCCCTTATTAAAAATAAAATAATCAAAAATTTTATTTAAATAATCACAATTTTTTTATATTTGTAACAATACAACAGCAAATCACAACTTCATATGTCAAATTTTTAATTTTACTACAAATGTTAGAAATTAAAATAACAAGTAATAATCATAAATTTTATTTAAATAATCACAACTTTCCTTTTAATATTTGCAATAATGCAACAATGAATCACAATTTGTATATCGAATTCTAATATTGCTACAAGTGTTAGAAGTAATAAGTAATGATCACAAGTTTTGTTTAAATAATTATAATCTTGTTTCTTACTTTTGTAATAATGCAACAATAAATTATAACTTTACGTGTCAAATTCCTGATATTGCTACAAAAATAATTTTGTTATTTATATAAATTTATTAATAATAGAAATTTTACTAAAATTTTAGCATTTCATAAAAATTTTATTATCATTTTTTTATAATTTTTCATCACAATAAACATGCATGCCATGCATGTATGCATTTCAAAACTACAGATTAAAATTAAAATAAGTGGTAAGTTAAAGGTTCTTATTATTTAAGTAAGTAGTTGAGAATTTAAATTATACCCATTATATATATAGTAATTATTACAATTTGATTTTAGTACGTCAGGAAGAATCTTTGCTGTTGGCATAGTCTACTCTTGGTTTTAGCGTGTGTGTGTGTGTTTTTAGATTTTTGTGTTTCTATGCTCTCACAGATTGCTACTTCAACAGTTAATCTCCTGCTTAACTCATATTTTGCCTTTAGGTGTTTTTTTTAAAATTAGCTTGGTTCATGTAAATATATACATATAAGAAAGCATAACTTCCTTGCCTAATATTTCATTTCACAAGTTATTTTTAAAAATAAATATACTAATTTTTTATGTTAAAGAAATATCCTTAGTTTTGGGTATATAAGATTTAATTAATGGGATAATGAAAACTTTTTGTCTATCAAATTTACCTTGATAATTAATTTGGTCTCTAAAATTTAATTTTTATCAATTAAGTCTTTAAATTTTGATAATCATACATCATTAGTTTTTATGATGTTATTTTCCCCTTAAATCATAAAAACTAGTAATGTATATGCATACAAAACTTTAAGAATTCAATTGATAAATGTCAAATTTAAAGGATGAAATTGATAATTAATATAAACTTAATGGGTAAAATGTTTCATTATCCCATATTATAATTTTACAAATTTGAACGATTCCATAATCCATTAATTTGTTTATTATTATAATTATATATCTTAATAGCTGGCAATTTACATTAAAAAACTAATCCACACTTGCCTCATTCTTTAATGTTTCCTACGTATTGAAGTCTGTCTAGTCAATTTAGGTCTGACTGCTCCATGAACTCTGGACCATAGCTTGTAAACAATGAAGAGAGAACTCTTCATGTGAACTCAAAATATGCAACGAAATTCATCTCTAGACAAAACTGTTACATAAATATACAAATTTCTTGGTCATAGTATATGAACACGAACAGTGATGAGTCTTATATAAATCAAAGGGATCAAAAAGAAGGTATTAGCACTATTAAAAAATACCATATATATAATGCTTCATATTCAACAGTTATAAAAAAAACGTTAAATAAAAAAAGATGAGATTTTGAAAAACTAATATTCAGCAGTTAAAAAAATAACCGTTGAATATATTTATATATATTCAATGGTTAAATATAAAAACCGTTGAATAAAATCCTTAAAAAATGCTTGGTGATATCACCATATTATTTATCAGTTCAGAAAAAGAAATCGTTGAATAAAGTGTCAGAATATTCAACGGTTAAAATAAAAAACCGTTGAATAAACATTTTCGAAACCGCCTTATGACATCATTTTATTATTCAACGGTTCCTTAACCAGAACCGTTGAATAAACGTTTATAATATTTAACGGTTTTCGTTGAGGAATCATTGAATAAACATTTATTCAACGATTTTTCAAGAAAACTGTTGAATAATTTCATTTAAATTGCCTCTTCATTCTCCCGAAGCTGTTACTCTTAGACGTTCAAAACTTCATTTCTCCTCTGCAAAACCAGATACCCACTGTTGAATCTCCTTCCTTAAGCACCGAGTCCACATTTTCGGCCAAACCCTTCCATATTCCATTGTTGGAATGCCGTCGCAAGCCTTCATTGCCATTTTCCTCTTCCGTCTTATGGTGTGCAAACACGTAAGTACTCTGCGTTACATTTCGCTCCTCTTTCTCTTCCTCTTCCCTTTTCCCTCTTCCTTTTCCTGCTTCCTCTTCCTCTTCCTCTCTCTCTTCCTAACTTCATCTTCCTCTTCCATTCCAGTTGCTTGGTCCATGGTTCATCTCCATTCAACTATGGTTACATGCATGGGTTACATCAGCAAAACAAAAAAAAGTTAATTTTTTTAAGAAATTGTATAAAATTTGAGTATTTTATTTAAACATTATGAATATTTACAATGGGGATGATTTCATATACAACGTGCTTGAATTTTGGTTGACGAAAATGCTCTGTGTCTACTATCAATTGTTAAATGTGATTGATTGAGTGATTTTTAATATGAATTTATTATTATTTTAATGTTCAATTTGTTAAAAAAGGACAGTAAACCTGGGAAATACTTAGTTTTATGCCGTTATACTGCCAAATTTTTTAAAAAAATTTAGTCTTGCAAATATGACCATTGTTAATTATGGTCTAGAAGGAGTTTAATTATACTTCTATCTTGTTTCTTGAATTAGTTTAAAATTTTATAGGTTAAAATAGTGTAAAGAAAGGGCATAATACTTGGGGAATACTTATTTGAAATTGTTAGGCTGCTGATTTTTTTTAATTTTAATTTTTCTCTTGAAAAGAACAAATATAAGGGTAGTTGAAGTTGTTGAAGTAATTAAACTCGTGATTCACTGAATGCTTTTCTATTTTTACCATCTTTCTTAAATAAGGGCATTATGAATAAGGAGTAAATGTCTGTCAATCGCCTATCTAAAGAATATTGGGATGGAGTGGCAGAATTTGTTAAGTTTGTGGTAAACAATGTAAAAAATCATGAGCGAATTGTTTGTCCTTGTTTAAGTTGTGGCAATGTGAAGTCAATTTATCTTGAGACATGTGAACTTCACTTGTTTAAGTATGGAATTGATCAAAGTTACAAGTGTTGGGTAAAGCATGGGGAGACACCTAAAGATGTGAATAACAGTAGCCGAGGGTATATAGAAAGTTGTTCATCACTATCATCTTTTGACACAAATGCAAATGAGGCCGATTGTCTTGAAGAATCACCATATTTTTTCAGAAGACACTGGTTCTCCTTCAAGCCCATCTGCTTAAAGCCGCTCAGCCTCAAGCCTTTAAAAGTCAAGTCGCACCCAACAAAAATTGACAATTGCTTAAGACCTATGCCGAGATGCAAGAAGGAGTGCTGCTCCCTTTCCCTACAGACATGTATGCTAATCCACAGTCTTTTGACCAAGTCAACAATGAGGTGTTGGATGATTTATTCAACCATGTAGAGGCTACCACTACTCTATGTAACTTATATATGAGGTATGTTTCTAAAACCTTTCATTAGACATTTAGCTATACACACACACATACACACTTTAATCATATATTGTTCTATTTATTTCGACATTTAAG